CTGACTGACTGACTGACTGACTGACTGACTGACTGACTGATTGATTGCTGTGTGTGCAATCTCAGAAATGGCAAACCGGTATCTAGGTTTACACAGACTACTGAAGGTTTATTCATATGTTTCAAACAAGGCTTTGAAATTTATGACAGCTTAAAATGTGATGCTGATAAATATTCTCCCTTTAGTTTTCAAAGATTCTTTTTCAAATACCAGCTGCATTGATCAGTAAAACCTTGAATACGTGGGGAAAGAATGCATGTGACAGTATCTCAGAGTTGCAAATGTTTTTTTGAACAATGAGGGCAACAGCATGATTTCAGCAGTTTTAATTTATTGATAGTATGAAATTGCCTGTAGGAGTCCTCATATTATTTAGTTTTAAGGATTATTATCTGCTGAGATACTCTGAGTGTATAAATAAAACACAGCATGTAGCTGCACGAACACACAGCATGTAAAATCCTCCTTATACAGAGCCAAAAAGTGTGGTGTGTGTTATGCTGCACCCAAAGTGTGATGCCTTGCTGGGGATTTAATGAGAAAATGAATACATTTCATGAAGGTGGAACAAATTTAAAACCTCATGTTCCTTCAAAAGATATCAGGAGCCTGTATATGTGGCCTGATATGTGGTCAGCCTGCAGATGTTTCCACTAGATGGCAGGTCAGTTCTTCCTCTCAGCCATACTTGGCCATCTGTTATATTTCATGCTATAGCTATGACATTGCTATCTGATAGCAAATGAATAATGGCTTCCAGGTAAAAAGAGATATATGGAAGAACGTGCATCTTTGTCAATCCCATACTTGGCTGCTCCGTATTCTAACTATATAAGTGTAACTGGCCATACAAAACACCGGATGTTTGGAGGAGAGGGCCATTGAAGCCTTGCTAACATGCACTGGATTATGGAGAAATCCACAGAGTTCCAGAAAAAACATCTACTTCTGCTTCACTGATTATGCAAAAGCCTTTGACTGTGTGGACCACAGCAAACTATGGCAAATTCTTAAAGAAACGAGAGTGCCTGACCACCTTATGTATCTCCAGTGAAATCTATATGTGGGACAGGAAGCAACAGTTAGAACTGGATATGGAACAACTGATTGGTTCAAAATTGGGAAAGGAGTACGACAAGGCTGTATATTGTCCCCTGGCTTATTTAATTTATATGCAGAATACATCATGCGGAAGGCTAGACTGGAGGAATCCCAAGCCGGAATTAAGATTGCCGGAAGAAATATCAACAACCTCCGATATGCAGATGATACCACTCTGATGGCAGAAAGTGAGGAGGAACTAAAGAACCTTGTAATGAGGGTGAAATAGGAGAGTGCAAAAAACGGTCTGAAACTCAACATCAAAAAAGCTAAGATCATGGCCACTGGCCCCATCACGTCCTGGCAAATAGAAGGGGAAGATATGGAGGCAGTGACAGATTTTACTTTCTTGGGCTCCATAATCACTGCAGATGGAGACAGCAGCCCCGAAATTAAAAGACGCCTGCTTCTTGGGAGGAAAGCGATGACAAACCTTGACAGCATCTTAAAAAGCAGAGATATCACCTTGCCAACAAAAGTCCGAATAGTCAAAGCTATGGTTTTTGCTGTAGTGATGTATGGAAGTGAGAGCTGGACCATAAAGAAAGCTGACCGCCGAAGAATTGATGCCTTTGAATTGTGGTGCTGGAGGAGGCTCTTGAGAGTCCCCTGGACTGCAAGGAGAACAAACCTATCAATTCTAAAGGAAATCAACCCTGAATGCTCACTGGAAGGACAGATCCTGAAGCTGAGGCTCCAGTACTTTGGCCATCTCATGAGAAGAGAGGATTCCCTGGGAAAGACCTTAATGTTGGGAAAGTGTGAAGGCAAGAGGAGAAGGGGACGACAGAGGATGAGATGGTTGGACAGTGTCACCGAAGCAACCAACATGAATCTGACCCACCTCCGGGAAGCAGTGGAAGATAGGAGGGCCTGGCGTGCTCTGGTCCATGAGGTCATGAAGAGTCGGACACGACTAAACGACTAAACGAACGAAATGAAAATTTAAAGCAGCTTATTCCATTAGCAGCTGACTAAATTGCTCAGGGATTTAGGTATCTGGCTGTAGAGTCAGAGGCTGGGAGTTCAACTCTGCCTCCTGTGAGTAGAGCCAGCCTGTGTGGTCTTGGGCAAGCTGCACAGCCTCATCATCACATTAGCAGCAGCAGCACTTGTGAAGGAGATAACCTAAAGCAAAGAATGAAATGTTTAACCCTTTTGCTGACAGCTGTTTCTGCAGAGAAACTTCATCCCATCAGACCTATCTTGACTATTCTGCACTCCAATACCACAGGAAGGATTTCAGACCCGTGTTTATTAGGTAAAAGTGCCAAGTCCTAGGGATCACCAAATGCCAGCTTCTGGCTCTTCAACTGTTGATCTCCAAGACAAAAGAATGAAACCCTTGGAGTACAAAATGGTCCAGAGCAACAGCAGGGACTGTAGTATCCAAACACATGAAGAGACCTATCAAGAGTTTACTGCTCAGATGGAATGGACCAATCCTTCTGCAGTCTTCATAAGTCAAATTAGGCCATGCTTCAATTGGCATCATTTCATGCTGCTCTAAGAATCAGAGCCTTTATAGCAGTGGCCCCACATGGGAAAAAACTCCTTTAGGAAATGAGCACTTTGAGCACATTCTAGAAAACTACAAATGAATATAAAAATGAAAAGTTTTCCTGACTTTGTTAGGATTTCTACTACTTCCAAGATATTACAAAAAAGTAATACTTTCCCCAATCATCTATTACTATTTTGATTCCTATATGGAAAAAATTATGTGAATACTCTGGGCAACCATTGCTTTTCAACATACCTCAGGTGCTACAAAATTGGCTGTATAACATGGTGTCATTAGCAGACCATTCTCAGCTCTCAGCTGTTTGGCAAATCCAAAATCACAGATCCTGATGGAGTCTGGGTTACCTGACTCATCCATATACAGAATATTACTAGGCTTCAGATCTCGATGAACAACCTGAAAAGGAAGTTGAAAATAATTCTACTATTCTATAAAATCATAGTCAAATGGTTTTTAGTGACAAATGGAAATTCTTGAGATTAGACTATAATTATCAGGAGCCAGGGTCACAGCAGAGCCATGCTCTGATAATTGCTGATGTTTACCAAATAATATTGAAAGTAAGCATGCATTTTAGTCATAAGATCGGGGAAATAGATTATTTTTTTACATTTACATTAGGTTTTCAAACTGTCAAAATTATTTGTGTGGAAAAAAAAATCTGACATTTTCTTTAAAAGTGAAATGGTGATTGAAAACAACTCAGAAACATGATTTTTGCTGTTCAGACAAGTAACAGAAATCATAAATTACAAGCAGTAAAATACTGGACATCACAACTAGGAATCTTATAAGAAATCTCTTGCATAAAAGATGACATGGAAGGCATAGTGCCATTCCATTCTGTATTTGGTCACCTCTTTTTCAAAAGTAAATTTTAATCACCTACAAGCTTCTGATATTATTTGGATAGATTCTCTTCAATATTTCAGAGAAATAAAATGACAGTTTTGAGAATGCTGTTTGTATTCAGAGGAAATGATACTTACTCCCTGGGAATGCAAATAGTCTACAGTCTTGGTAATAGTACAAAGGACAGCGCTAGCCTCTCGTTCTGAGAAGCACTTCTGTCGAAGTATTCGGTCTAAGAGTTCTCCTCCTCGCATCAGCTCCATCACAAGGTACACGTATTTTCCATCATCATAGACCTGTTGTATGCAGATGGATCATCAGGTGCTTATTCCACAAAGTTCCATTACATTGGTGGTATGTAGTAAATGCACAAGGTTATCAATCCTCAGTTATGGAGGCACAACAATTTCCTCCTTATTGCTGAGGTCATGATCAGATGGAAGATGGAAAAATTATAATACAATTCTACTTGGATGTGTAGAAGTCATTTAAAGTCATTTAAAGATCTGGCTCTTCAGGCAGACCTTCCCTCCAATAAACACCTGATTTTGTTTTTTCTTTAGCTTTTCTTCCATCATGACCTTCTAATTTGCTGATTTAATGATGTGATTTTTTATATATACTTCGATGATTTTATTTGATTGTATTTTATAATGTTTTATTCTTCTTTGTAAGCTGCCCCGAGTGGACTCTGTCTAGAGGGGCGGGGTAGAAATCGA